CCAGGCCGACACGGGCCCAGGCCGACACGGGCCCAGGCCGACACGGGCCCAGGCCGACACGGGCCCAGGCCGACACGGGCCCAGGCCGACACGGGCCCAGGCCGACAGTCAGATGTTAAGACACAATAGTGGGATCTCCGAGTGAAGCCTGTTTGCCGCTTACACTGCAACACGCATGCGCGTCTGGAGCCCTACCACCACCCAGTGACTTCAGGTAAGCAGCCTGTAGGCCACAAATTACATTGATAGCGGGTTTGTGGCGGAGGAGGATGTTTGTGGCTAATTCCGCGGAAAAGGTGCTGCTGCACTTTCTATTGGCCCAGGTGACTACAAATAATATTTACACTATCTTAACTCAGCTCTGGAGCATAAAAGAGAATTTCTAATTAGTTTGTTTGCTTTAGAAAAGTGAACTATGACAACAGATATTTAGAATTTGTCCCTGGTGGTGCTGGAAGAATATAAAGATTTGGAAAAGTTGTACTGGGGGTAACAATTAGCAAGGTGCAGATTTTCCCAAAACTATGTTCATTTGTCCACAAATATATTCTGAATATTATTCATTTTAATAGCTTCCCATTTATTTTAATTGATTCTTCTTGAATCTATGCTTTATAGTGAACAATTTGCCTGATGAGCTTTGCCTATTTTTTTTAACAATAATATAAAACGTTTTGTATATTTAGAGGATACCTTTCAACTCAACTTATTTTTGCTGATGTTAGTAACTAGAGTAATCTGCTCTAATTTCATTCAACTGCTATTTCACTGGACTTAAGATTTATTTTCTCTCAAGTATTATCCAATTCCCTTAAAGGCTATTATGGTTCAGCTTTAACCATCATTTGTGATAAGCCATTCCACATTCTAACCACCATCACTGTAAAAACCTCCCACTTCTGGAGAATATCTCATGATGAAGTTCTCCCTTTTCCAAGTAGAGAAAACAACTTTCTACAACATTTATGTTGCACTCTAATTTGTTTACTTTAGAAAAGCCAAGAATGTTCCATTCAATACACACTTACACTTTTTGTTCTTTGTTCCAGTGCTAATTAATTTAAGTTATCCATATTGACAGTACCAGCCACAAGCTTTTTTTAGAATGAAATACAATGCTAAAAGATAAAGCCTTCTGAAACTGGTTGCATGATCCTATACTATTTGCTTTTGTTGTTGATACATCTCCAAATTGATTTGTAAACATATCAAGCAAGCAATAAATGGTAGCGTACATTCTTTAGGATACCAATCTCAGTAAAGGATGCGTTTTTTTCTGTTCAATAAACTACATTGCTCTCATAATTTTCCCTCATTTGTTTCTACTCACCAAAAAAAAATCTTTAAATGTCAACTCTCAACCTTCTCCGTTCTAGTGAAACAGCCCCAATTTCCTCAGTCTGGGTGATAACTCAAACCTCCCTCATCCTTGGTATTATCTCTAAAAGAATACCACGTAATTGAACTGAAGCAACTTTTCACGTTGTACAGTACAATATATACTGAGCCAGAGCTCACAACCTATTAATCGATGAGGACAAGCAGATCTTTAGGTTGCTCGGGAAGATTTGACGAAGAACGACATGACCACTAAGTGGAAATAAATAATCCCAAACTGAAAGTCTAAATACGTGGCTAATAAGACGTTTGGAAGCAATTTCCAAGACAGACTAATCTAACAGAGATGTTCGGCTGATGCTATAAACCATAAATGTCATTTCTTGAGTTATTTGTAATTGGAATTTGAAACCTGAGATTAGATTACAGCCTTTTACTCACTGCTGGAATGTACTATTTGTACAGTACGTCCTGTTCATGGAATTTTATGTCCAGTTCATTTTCAGGTTTTGAAAGTTACACTTCTTGTTTTATTTCTGAATCCAGTCATCTTACAATCCTTTCTGATATCATTACTACAGATCAATGGAAAACGATTTCCATTTTCCATCAACCTGGAGTAAATTACAGGTATTCCACAAACAATGTTCATTTCACCAACAAATTATAAAGGATACTTAATCAATGGGTATAAAGGATGCACAATGAAGATCATTAGATTATTAAAATTAGATTTTCAATCTACGACTGTTTGTGGGACATTGCTGTGCGCAATTGGCTGCCGCGTTCGCGCCACAAATATACAGTCAATTCACTTTGCAGTATGTTCTGTGAAGCGCTTTGGGACGTCCTCCCGACGTGAAAAGCGCTATATCAAATGCAAGGATTATTATTATTATTATTAAGATGTACATTCAGCCAACTGGTACTATCTTAATATTTGTACTCATCACTTTGATATATTGGAACCTGAGTTTCTTTGCCTACAAAATAAAAGGAGTCCTGTAGCTCAGTGGTTAGAGCACTCGCCTTGCAAGCGAGACACCTGGGTTCAATTCCAGGCAGAGCGAAACCTTGGGCAAGTTTCCTTACTCCACACACCTAATAATAATTCCTCCAAAAAACAATAATAAATTGTTAATTTCAATCCACGACTGTTTGTGGGACACTGCTGTACGCAATTGGCTGCCGCGTTTCGCCCAAATAATAATAATAATAATAATCCTTGCATTTGATATAGCGCTTTTCACGTCGGGAGGACGTCCCAAAGCGCTTCACAGAACACACTGTAAAGTGAATTGACTGTATATTTGTGGGCGAACGCGGCAGCCAATTGCGCACAGCAATGTCCCACAAACAGTCGTAGATTAAAAATGACCAATTTATTATTGTTTTTGGTTTTGGAGGGATTATTATTAGGCTCTGTGTGGAGTAAGGAAACTTGCCCAAGGTTTCGCCCTGACCTGCCTGGAATTGAACTCAGGTCTCTCGCTTGCAAAGCGAGTGCTCTAACCACTGAGCTACAGGACTCCACAAATGTACGGTCAATTCACTTTACAGTCTATTCTGTGAAGCGCTTTGGGACGTCTAGAAGACATGAAAAACTCTATATCAAATGCAAGGATTATTATTATTATATGGAGACTCTGCTTTTAACTTTGGACTCTTCGACCTGTTCCATCCTCTCTTTATTCAAGTTGTTTTGTAGCCTGTTATTTTGTGTGTTAATATTTGGGATGGCAAATAATTGTTTTTCAAAATAAATAATTCTTGCATTTGGTATAGCGCCTTTCACATCAGGAAAACATTCCAAAGCACTTCACACAATATCCTAAAAGTGGAGTTACTGTATTTGTGTGTGAACGCAGCAGCCAAATTTGTACACAGCAATATCCCACAAACAGCCATATGATTTCAAGCTCCACTCGGAGGCGAGTGTCACTGCCGATCCCGGCTGACACACACGTATAACAGAGTGCTAAAGGCATACAGCCAAGTTCCTGGGCCAGTAGTGTGAGGAGACGGAAACATTCAAGTCAAAATAAAGGAAATTTGTGAAATGGACAGTATTAAATGATTATATGTACATACAAATATATTATATCCATCTCCTTCATATTGCACGCAATTCAGAATCTCACTTTGTAACATAGGGACTCACTATTCAAAGCAAATACCTGAATATCAAGTCATTAACTATAAATAACTAAATAGACTGAATGCAGGTGGGTTCTGGTGCTTTAGCAGCAGGCAGTCAGTCACAGCCACATAGCGGACACGTACTCTCACACAGGCGGTCTGTCCATCAGCTCTTCATTGACCCAGTGTTGCCCACTGGAAGCTCGCAGAGACTTCCTGGTATCTACCGTCCACCTAACGCGGTCTCAAACCCGCACTCGTCAGATGTCAAACTATCAACAAATGACTCTCCTCCTTGGCAGCGGCAGGAGGTAAGTGGGGTCTCCTTGGAGCTGAACTGACTCAAAGGGGACGTGTTTATGATGATGTTGGCAATGGAAAGCCGGAGTTGAGCTCCAAGGAGACCCCACTCTCTCTCCCCCACCCCCCAGACCCCACCTCTCTCCCCCCACCCCCCAGACCCCACCTCTCTCCCCCCACCCCCCACCTCTCTCCCCCCACCCCCCAGACCCCACTCTCTCTCTCCCCCCACCCCCCAGACCCCACCTCTCTCCCCCCACCCCCCAGACCCACCTCTCTCCCCCCACCCCCCAGACACCACCTCTCTCCCCCACCCCCCAGACCCCACCTCTCTCCCCCCACCCCCAGACCCCACCTCTCTCTCCCCCCACCCCCCAGACCCCACCTCTCTCCCCCCACCCCGCAGACCCCACCTCTCTCCCCCACCCCCAGACCCCACCTCTCTCCCCCCACCCCCCAGACCCCACTCTCTCTCCCCCACCCCCCAGACCCCACCTCTCTCCCCCCACCCCCCAGACCCCACCTCTCTCCCCCCACCCCCAGACCCCACCTCTCTCCCCCACCCCCAGACCCCACCTCTCTCCCCCCAGACCCCACCTCTCTCCCCCCACCCGCAGACCCCACCTCTCTCCCCCACCCCGCAGACCCCACCTCTCTCCCCCCACCCCCCAGTTGGCCATTTGACATCTGACAAGCACAGGTTCGAGTCCTCACTGGGTAGATGGCAGGTACCAGGACCCACACATATCACCGCCATCCCCACCCACACCCACTACACATACCCCACGTATACATACGTGGACCCCATACAGTAACACACAAACCATCCTCCCGGCTCCACTAATTTAAAAAAAAATGAAATAATGACGTGTAATCCAGACCGAGTGACTGCCTCTCACTCACTCAGTCATTGTGTGCGGGGGATGGCTTGAGATGGGTTGGTTTTTCACATAAAGAAAAACAACAGCCGCCGCCGCCGGTGGGGGCGGGGGGTGGGGGCGGTGGTCAGGAGCCACTGACCCCCCGGGGGCTGAAGCCTCTGCTCCTCGGCCCAGGTTTTGAATATAAAAGCTGCGGCGAGGAGCAGCCAAGAACATGACCGAGCCCCGGGCGGCCTGTTCCTCTCCCTCCCTCCTTCCCTCCCTCCTTTCCACTCTCTCTCTCTCTCTCTTCCCTTCTCCTCTCCCATTCCCCCCCCCTCACTCTCTCAGTCTCTCACTCACCGTCTGCAGTCTGCGGGCCGCCGGATACTCAAACGCCATTGTAGCCATGGCCACCGCTCACTAACGGCGCTGCCTTCCAATCCCGTTATTCAAACTCCCCGAGAGCGACGACGAGCCGCGCGGCACCGAGCAGGAAGCGGAAACACGTGACCGCGGCGGCCCGCGAGCGATCGGGCGGGCGGGTGACGCAGTGGCGCGAGCTCGGCAGGTGCTTGTGCAACGTAGCCCAAACGTGTCACCACCTCTGCTCACCTGCCCCACCTCTGGCGGTGCAGCGCCCTCTCCAGCTCACATACTGCACTGCAGCCAGTGTCAGCCCCGAGAACTGTGCGTCTCAGTCAGGGGGTACACGCATTTTTTTGGGGGGGGGGTTGGGGGGGGGCCTCACTGTGCAGCAGTTGTGGGCCATCCTGTGCTCCTGAACTGCATGTGGCCATCCACCCATGTGATTTTGTGGGGGTGAGAGAGTGTGCAGGCGTGTGGTTAGCACAGCACGTCGCAGGGCCATGAGGTTTGAGTGCGCGTTGGGCAACGCTGGTGCGCAATAAGTGTTGTTGGCTGCACACGTCAACGGTGCTCCGGAGTATTATGGACCCACCTGGCTCAGGAACTGGATGTCTGATTCCAACTCGCGGCGGCCAGTTCAGCTCCAAGCTTACCTCTCCCTCCCAACCCCAAGGCTCCGGGACCCCAGAGTGTGTGGTTGGATACTGCTGGAGTCCAACCAGCTAAAACTGCATGGCTTGCCCGTGATGCACTGCCTGGCGAGCTTTCCTGCTAGTTGTCCAGCTAGGACCACCCTACCCGTTATGCTGGCTTGCAGGGTTAACGTGCAGGGTTTACGAGTGGGAAGAGTCCCTGCGCCCAGTGACTGGTCTGCACTTCCAAATCCTGCCAGGCTGGCTTTGGGCTGTCATCAGCAACGCTCTGGAGTACCTTGGACCCGACTTGCTCATGCTGAGCAGTGTGGCCCACCAGAAAGCTCACAGGGCGTTGCCAAACCTTGGCTCCTGCCAATCTGCGCCTAATGCTTTCTGGAATTAGGTGAGCAGGATGCGACCCTCCAGGGAGAGAGTGCACATTCCATTCCATTAAACATCTCTGTAATGTCAATGTGTAGGTGGGATGCGTAGAATTCTCGGCTTGGTTTGGATACTCTTAAGCATGGTGATAGGTTTCTGCATGCGTCAGACACCCGGCTGACCAAAAAAAACACGAGTCGGTGGGAGGGGTGGAGGCTTGGGGGTGGAAGATATCAGTTTAATTTTAAAATGAATGAGTAATTTTTAATGAAGAGAAGGTAGGAATTAGATTTAAATTGATAATCTCACATTCTGTTGGTTATTTAGCTTATTGTTGTCACATGCTCCAGGAGAAACATATCGGGTGAAGAAGAAAGCAGTGCTGTGCATGTTTTGCAGAGGAAAGCCACAATGTGGCAGTACAGGCCTATTTATTTCCCAGCTTTGCTTTCTCATACACACAATAATAATGGAGTTCATGCACTTTTTAGTTTAGTTTTAGTTGACACTCACAAGGAGCAATGTGTATTAGTCCAAGAAAATGTTGAACAAGTCAACAAAACTCAATAAATTGATACCACTATAAAGTGGAGTCCTGTAGCTCAGTGGTTAGAGCACTCGCTTTTTACAAGCAAGAGACCTGAGTTCAATTCCAGGCAGGGCGAAACCTTGGGCAAGTTTCCTTACTCCACACACCTAATAATAATCCCTCCAAAAACCAAAAACAATAATAAATTGGTCATTTTCAATCTACGACTGTTTGTGGGACATTGCTGTGCGCAATTGGCTGCTGCGTTCGCCCACAAATATACAGTCAATTCACTTTACAGTGTGTTCTGTGAAGCGCTTTGGGGCGTCCTCCCGACGTGAAAAGCGCTATATCAAATGCAAGGATTATTATTATTACCACAATGAGAATAATGCTAGTGCAGAGTCAAATAAGGACTGTTCTCTCAGTGCCCTGGCCAACAATACCCCCCTAATAAAATTGTTCACTCACTCCATATCTGTTTGTGGGACACTTCTCTGCGCAACTAGCAGCCGCATTTTGCCCACAAAATACAGTCAATCCGCTTTACTGGCTCCCTATCCCAGAGAGGATCGACTCCGCGTCTGGCCTCCTCCTCGTCCCCCGAGTCCTTCGCTTCACCCTCAGTGGCCGTGCTTTCAGTCACTATGCCCGAGGCTCTGGAATTCCCTTCATCACTCCCTTCGTCTCGCTCCCTCTCTTCCTATTTTCAGGTCCCTGCTGAAGACCTTTCTCTTCGACCGCGCCTTTGGTCACCTTCCCATCCCCCTGGCTCGGCCCCGGGATCCATTACTGTGAAACGCTTTGAGATGCCTTCCAGGGTGGAGGGCGCTATATAAATCCAAGTAGCTATTGTTGTTTACAGTACACTGTGAAGGACGTTGAGATGTCTCAACGACATGATAAGGCTCCATATCAAATGTAAGGATTATTTTATTATTATCAATAATCTAATAGTCATTTAATATAGTGACTTATCACTGAAACTTCTCATACTGCACACATTATCTCTTGATAAACAAGCAACTGCAGCAGCTAATCTCCACCAACAATTTCCCTCAAACAACCCAAGCTGTGTTTTAGAATGCCACAGATTCAGCATTTCAAAATGTGTTTAAAGCATACATTCACTCTGGTCAGTGAAGTTACCAACCTTGACAGCACATGTTTGTAATCAGTTTCCAACCCCCCCCCCCCCCCCCCCCAATTTTAAGCACACATTGGCAAAGTCAGGCATCAAAATAAATCAAATGCAAATATATCATTAATTTTGTAACTTGTGGATTTGCACGCCCTAGTGGAATTAATAAGCCCTGCACCATCTTAAAAAATTGAAGGTTGAAATTTGCCCCAACCCATCCAACTCACTGGGAGGAAAGTTCCACAGCTATTCATTAAGAACAGTGTTTTATAACTATATCAGCATCGACGATAATTTGTACCTTCACAATGGCAATATACTGTAAAATGAAAGTAATGATTCCAGTATAATAATAATAAATATAATCCTTACATTTGATACGCCTTATCACGTCTTCGAGACGTCTCAAAGCGCTTCACAGAATATACTGTAAAGTGAATTGACTGTATATTTTGTGGGCGAAATGTAGCAGCCAATTGCACACAGCAGTGTCCCACAAACAGTCGTGGAATGAACTGACCATTTTTTTTGAAGGAATTATTACCCCCGGAGAAGCGATGCGCCATTCCACTAACAACCGGGTTCCTACTTAATGCTAGGTAAAGAGAGGCATGTGGAGTAAGGAAACTTGCCGAACATTTCGCCTTGCCTGGAAATTGAACCCGGGTCTCTCACTTGTGAGTCTAGTTCTCTAACTACTGAGCTACAGTAATCTCAGATCTCAGTATAGATCTCAGTAATCTAATGCAGCTAAAATAAGAAACTGTTTAAATCTATGTAAAATAATACTCTACACTGCCTGGCAAGATCCCTGGCATTGTCCGTGATCTAATCTCAGCTAGGTAAGCAGTAGAGGTTCTACATCTCTTTAAAATAAAGCCATGAAATCTTCAATGCTGACCTCACCAAAGCAGGCAGCCACGGCCTTTGTTTAACATTTCATTTGAGACACCACACCTCCAAAATTGTAGCAGTATTGGAGTGTCAGCACATATTATGAGTTCGGGTGTTGTGGTGAAGCTCAAACCCATGATCCTCTGACCTAGAAGAAAGAGTGTTACCTACTGAGCTAAACTCACACATTGAAAGAGTAATGGAAAAGAAGCAAAAAGTGTAATGAAGTCGAAATATGGGGGAGTTGAGGGAGGAAGGCATCAGAACAGATATATTTTCATGTGTGTAAGAGAGAGTGGGTAAATGGGATCATCAGATATAGAGGCTTTCTACAAATTAATGCTGGTCCAGTTTGAAAATGTATATGATGGACTTTCCTTGCAATATAGCACTGAGTCATACAACAACAACAACAAAATTACATTTATTGAGCGTCCTTCACTTCGGGAGGACGTCCCAAAGCACTGAAAGTCCTGGAAGGCTCCAGATTTAATCATAGCCTTCGTTGAGTTCATTCAACAACATCAACAACAAATTGCATTTATATAATACCTTTCACATCCGGAGGATGTCCCAAGGCACTAGACAGTCAAGGATTTGCACTCGAGCTGTGGGTTGGAATCAAGAGGGGTGAATGGTAAGGGGGAGGTGGGGTGGGAGGATCACCAAAGGCATGGTCAGAAAAAAGGTCTTGAGACGGATCTTGAAGGAGGCAAGGGAGAGGGCAATCCAGAGGGGCTCTTGAATGGAGTTCCAGAGAGTGCGGCAAAAAGGCTGATGGCTCAATTGCCAATGGTGGGAAGGGCAAGTCGGGCAGGGTGGGTGACATGAAGCAGGCCAGGTTTCAGTAGGTTGCAGAACCTCCGGGGGGAGAATTTTTTTAAAATATAAATCTGAATATTTTATGTTTTCTGGAAGCATTCTATGAACCAGGAATTGGAATAATAAAATCATAGTTCATTTTATGTTTTGTCAATTCTCTCCCCTTTCCTTCCATTCTCTTCTGAAGACACAAACGCTTTGCGTGTAATGCTTTGCACCAGTTTTAAGCTGGTAAGAATGAGGCTGATGGAGTATGATCATACAAGCCTTCCTAACAATGGTGTGTTGAAAGCCTTTGAGCGGATTCAGAAAGTTGATGGCCTGGATAAGATACAAGACTTTTGTTGCTTCACCAGTGCACAGAGCATTTTTTTCATGACTCATTTCCTGCCTGCCATTTTTGAGCTCATCCTATTTCCACCCCTCTCTCTTTCTCGTTTCCCACCTCACCCTAGGTTTTTTTTAAAAAAAGAACTGTATTGTTTGCAAAAATTATTTGACAGCATTGTTCAGGCAACCAAACAAGTGTTTAATCCGTGTAATGTTTGTGTTTAACTTGGGCAATGAGCCATCTCAGTTTGCTTTGGCTCAGTATCTAAAAATAACTTTTCAATTCTAATTTCTCTTTGATATGACAGCCTAAATCATATTGTCAATAGCCAAAAGGTGTATAAAGGGGAGGAAAACTTCAACCAATTAACATTATTAATACATACTGTATTCATCTTCTAACTTTTCATTCTA